CTTGCAAGTCTGGAAGTAACAAGCTATGGTTTGTTGCTAAGATAGGAATAACGAATCCTCTGGCAGCCCAAAAGGGGAGGGAGAGGGAACGCATGCAAACTCAAAGTCCCACACGTAACTGCAAACCATGGTTTGTTGTTTTGTCCAAACCCAGCCGCTGTTCAGAAGAACAGTAGATGCAATATTTTTCTGCCCAAATTAGGCAATCAATACAGCAGTAGTTAATAACTTGATTAGGGATTCTAAATCTTATTTTTCTGCCATGTGATTAATTAGGAGAGGAGGCTGAAAAGGTCACAGTAGTCAAAAAATATTCTGGGAAGCTCACTTGAGACTTTCCTCAAGCAGGATAGATGTCAGGGTTAGAGATGTAAAATTTCCGGAAATTCTGAAGCTCGGAAAAAAACCCGGTTTCCCCCCAGAAAAAAACGGAAATTTTCGGAAAAATTGAAAAAAGGCTACATTAGCATTTCTTTTGTCTTTTCTAGATTGAAAGTCATTCTGTTACTTTAGGAACATAAAATATGACTATGGACATTTTTACTTGGCATGAAATTATCACAATTAGCATATTAAAAATATAGTGTATCCAAACAATTATTACAAACAGAATACCCACCCATACGCAAAAACAAAACTGAAACTTTTTAATTTTCTTCTGACAATCGTACCTCCTAAAGGAAGAAATGCATCTTGTTCTTGCATTGGAGAGTTCAGTTTGTAACCTAGGACTTGCTTGTCCTCAATGCCCAAAAATTAGATCAATCTGATACCATATATATATATTTTAGAAATGATTTGGAAAATATTTGAACAACTTGTCTTAAAATATTTTATTCCTCATGTTAAAATAAAACGTTCCATAATCAATGTTTTTTCTTCTCTTTTCTTTTTTCAATTTTTCCAATATTTCGGAAAAAAATAAAAAAGCTTCAGGAAAAAATGGGGGGAAACTGGGTTTTTTTTCCGGTTTCCCCCCGGGCCTTCACATCTCTAGTCAGGGTTGAGTGCAGTGGGGCCTCTCTCAAGACCCACGCTGAAGTAGGGGGCCAAGCACTGGAGCCCCCTCATCCTGTTGTTTCTCTTCTTGGCAATTTTTACATGCTCTTTGAGTGAGTCAACTGTGCCAAAAATAGCTACCGTCGTTTGCACCCAGCTTCCCTTTCTGGGAACTGGGTCCACAGGGAAAGGGCAACCTAATAGCCCCTGAGAGCATGTAGCCCAGGAGCACCCCTAAATTCTGGAGCTGACGCTGCTTTCAAGAATTAAACTTCAGCATTTCTTATGACAGAGAAAAAGATCTATACTAACTTCAAAAATAACTCCAACCCCCCTCCCAAAATAGCCTATGAAGAAAAAGAAAAATTAATCCAAACTTTTTTTTAAATTACACTAAAAATGGACGGCAGAAATTTTTTTTTTAAATGCTGTTTAGTTAATGGATGGAAATGTTTAAAAGCCAAGCGTCTAAAAAAAATGGAATCAAGCATACTTACTTTAAGACCCGGGGGACCCGGGAGGCCTGGTGGCCCCTAAAAGGTGAACAGATGCATTTTTAATTATTTCTTGTAACTTTCATTGATCTAATGGATTGGATCCTCTGAACCGCAAATGAGAGGTGCTCACAGTTGCGGATCTTTCCCACTAGCCTTTCTTCCAGCAGCCTCCTGAGAAAGGCGGATGCTATAAATCACAGTGGGGGGGAGGGAGAAGAAGGTAGCACTTGCCTGTTGTCCAGAGGAAGCTTCTTGCATCAACAGAAGCTCCACCAACAGAAGAGGAATGGTGATGCCATCTGATTCGCCTCTTTCACACCACCCCATGTGATCCATGGCATTTTGTCTCCATGGGATTCTCATGAATCAGAGCATCAGGTCTCTGAAAGTCTCAGGAGGAGGTAGGGAAGTTCCATATCTATGAGCACCCTTCTGTTTGCAAGCTGATGGATCCAACCCAATATCAATTAGTATAGATCCAGGAGGGCAGCCATGTTGGTCTAGAGCGGTAGAACAAAGTTGGAGTCCAGTCAGGCACCTTTAAGACCAACGAAGTGTTATTCAAGGCGCGAGCTTTCATGTGCGTGCACACAAGGAAGCATCTAGGGAAGGGTGGGTGCACACAAAAGCTCATACCTTGGATAAAACTTTGTTGGTCTTAAAGGTGCCTGACTGGAATCAAACTTTGTTCTATCAATTAATGTAGCTTATGGAAATATAACGAGAAAAAGAATTCCACAGAAAAGGCATAAAAAGAAAATTACATAGGAAGAAATTACATATGTTGAAGATGAAATCATATAATTGAAACGACAAATGTGAATGTTAGTTGGAACCATAAGTGAGCCATTGGGCAATGGAAAGAAGAAGAAGAAGAAGGAGGAGGAGAAGAAGGAGAAGAAGGAGAAGAAGAGGAGGAGGAGGAGGAGAAGGAGATTGGATTTATACCCCGCCCTTCACTACCCTAGGGAGTCTCAGAGCGGCTTACAATCGCCTTTCCCTTCCCCTCCCCACAACAGACACCCTGTGAGGCAGGTGGGGCTGAGGGAGCTCTTGACAGAAACTGCTCTTTTTTCAAGGACAGCTCTTTTCAGAACTATGGCTTGCCCAAGGTCATCCAGCAGCTGCAAGTGGAGGAGTGGGGAATCAAACCCGGTTCTCCCAGATTAGAGTCCGCGCACTTAACCACACCAATCTGACATGCTATGGTTGCCAACCTCCAGGTGGAGCCTGGAGATCTCTCAGAATTACAACTGATCTCCTGGAGAAAACTCCCCTGGATAAAAATGGCTCCTTTGGAGGGGGGACAGTATGGCATTATACCTTGCTGAGGCCCCCCCGAACCCCTCCAGACTCCACCCCCACATCTCCAGGAACTTTCCAGCCTAGAGTTGGCAACTCTAACACACACACAAAGACTTATGATTCATTACTTATGATTCAAGTAATTGTATGGCTAGAAAACTACAACCGTTGAATAAGAACATGCTTATAGAGAGAGCGAGAGAGAAAAAAAAGCTAATGAACAGCCAAAACAGAACTGTAAAGAAAGTGACAAACAGGCCAATTTCCCAATATTACAGAAGCATCACTAATATAAAGTAATCTCTGGCAGGGCTGTAGTTCCTGCATCAAGCCACAAGAAGAAACCGTCAGGTTAAGTACCAAGCAGGGTCAGCCTTCATGGCAGGGTTGAGTTGTTGCCCAGGCAAGCAAAATTGGGAGGAACAGGACCCGCTGAAGTACCTGGCAACCGAAAGCCTCCTCAGCAGCTGCATGAATGTTCGTTTTGTAATGGTGAACAGATGTGAAGAGAGAGGTTCCCATTGTCACTTTGTGTTATTTCTTCCAGTGGTGAAAGCCACTGTGGTAATTTCCCTTAGCAGAGTGTGCCGTGACCTCAGCTGGAACTGGCAGTCGCTGTGTTTCCATGCTTTTATCCCTCTGGCCAGAATGGCTTCTATTGAGCACCGAGGCCGATAAAGTTAAGTGAACAAAGTGTCCATTCTTCGGAACTCGGTGCACCAGATGTAAGTAAGTAGGACCCTGCGGAGATTGACCTTTGCCACTCCTTGCTCTTGGGAGGTACTGGAGAAGGGCAGAAGGAAGGGAGCACCAGGTCTCGTAAATTTAGAGATGAGGTACAGACAGATCTGTTCTCAAATATCACTGAACCCTCTCTGATGGAGCACAAGTCCGACTTTACAGACAGGGAATTGAGCTCTGATATCTGCCCGGCGGGAGTAACAGCAACTAAACTGGCAACTTTTGGGGATAAGCAGAGAGGAAGCACAAAAAGGTTCAAAGGGAGGTTTGGAGAGCGCTCTCGGGACTTTGGGTTGGATCCAACCAGTTTTGTCACTAGTGAAAAAGGTAGGATGGGGCAGAGGTCATTTCGGGGGGGAACGCGGGGGAACGCAGTTCCCCCGGGTGAGGTATGGGGGGCGGGGCACATGACGAAGCCCCGCCCCCTGCTTCCGGCCGCCCCGCTTCCGGCCCTCATTCAGCCAGGAGGAGGCAGGAGAAGAGGGAGGGTAAGTTGCTTCCTCCCTGCCTCTCCCCACCCCTGCCTGCCTGGGGCCAGGGAGGGCCTTCGTGGGGCTTCCTTGCACTCCCGCTGGCCTTGCAGGTCCACCACCGGGCCACTCATGGGGCTCGGCAGTGGAGCTGCAAGGCCGGTGGTGGCGGCCGGGACCGTTGGGGTGGGGTGTGTGGCCTTATGACACATTTCCGGTGATGTCAGGGGGTGTGGCCTTATGACACACCTCCGGTGATGTCAGGGGGTGTGGCATATGCTAATGAGTTATGCTAATGAGTTCCCCTAGCTCTTTTTCTACGAAATGATCCTGGGATGGGGTCAATGTTCCCTCTAAGCTGTGGAGTCCTGCGAGCAAAAATTCTCCTTTGTGAGCTACGGGCATTAAAGTTGTGAGCGAGCGATTCGAGTACTGTGTAAATTAGTTTGCTCTGGAGCCATCCTCCCTGAGCTCAGACAAAAATGTGTGAGCCAGAGGCTAAAAAATTGTGAGCTAGCTCACACTAACTCAGCTTAGAGGGAACACTGGATGGGGTCCTCTTTGACCACTAAAAAGGCTGTGTTTGGGATTGTGGGACCTGCATAGACAAAAGCCACGTGAAACTGGGGCCATAATAAGGAGAGAAATTGGCCAAGACTGAGCAAAAAAACCTAGCGGGATCCAGCCCTTGCTCTACATTCTAGGCTGTGGTCACACACTCTAAATAATCCACTTTCAATGCACTTTCCAACTGGATTTTGCCAGTTCACACAGTAAAGTGCAGTTGAAAAGTGCACCGAAAGTGGATTATTTAGTGTGTGTGACCGCAGCCTTAGAAGGGATACCCGTGGACTGATAGAGAGCGGAGAAAGGAAGCTCTCCTTTGGAATGATCACACTTAAACGTTGACTTTCTTCAGATTAATGGCTACCTCCTGATGCTTGGGCTGAGCCTTTGGTCTAGGCTAGACTGGCGTGTCATGCCATGTTTTTACATCAGCATCAACACAGGAAGGCTCTGCACATCTCATAAATGCAGTCTGTGAGCTCTCTATAAGACACCAATAACCTCTTCAGGAGAGCCAGTGCATTCAGTCAAGCGGTGCCCAGTCTCCAGATGGGAAGCAAAGCTAGGCTGGACCTGCATGAAGGAGTGATCCCTGTATAGGAGAAGGTTGCTGGTTGGGGGAATTAGCTGTGGTGGTTTCTGCGGCCAGTCGTCTGAGAAGCATGGCTTGTGTGGGCCAGTGACGGGCCACAGTGACTATCTTTAGCTGGCTTGAGGACCTACGCCAACATGTATACACCAACAGGAAACATGTATAATAGACTCTGAGGCCAGTGCTAGGTAAGTCTGTTGGCCTCTTTGTCAGGTTGTCGCTGGGTCTCAAGGGGGTCCTGGTTCATGAGAGGAATTCTCCAAGAGGCAGCTGAAGCTGACCGTGATTTGGAATAGCCTCGGAATACCTGTCAAGTTTATAGCACTCAAACAAGTCGATGCGAGAGAGAGTTTGACGGGTCTTGATTCTCTCTCTCTCAAGCCACGTCCTTTCACTTTCTACTCGCATCTCGTTCCTCCCCGGCCATTTCCCCTCATGCCATCTTTATTTGTTTTCAGCCATCCTTGCGGGATTCTCTCATTAACCAGTTAAAGGGCCCTCGCCACCACCCATAACTCAAAAGGGAATTGTTCCCGATTAAGTCTCCATCCTGCCTCCCATCTGTGGGCCCCTTGCCGTCCTGCCCAACTCCCGCTCCTGCCTCTCCTTCCCCCTTGGGTTGAGTTGCCACCTCTTTGGGGTCGACTTGTCCAGGTGCCAGAACCTCCTGGAAAGGGACGGGGAGCCAACGATCCCCAAGATCGGGTGCTAAGGGGTATGCTTCCCGCATAGACAGGAGGGGGCTGGGTTCGACCTCCTGACACTCTTTGATCACATGACACCTCCTTAAACTGAATCAGACCATTGTTCCATCAAGGTCAGTATTGTCTACTCAGACTGGCACGAGCTCTCTAGGGCCTCAGGTAAAGAGTCCGTGAAGATTACCTGTCACCTGATTCTTTTAACTGGAGAAGCTCGAAACCGAACTGGGACCTTCCGCATGCCAAGCAGAAGCTCTGCCTTCGAGTTACAGACCCTTTCACTCCCGCAGACATAAATCGGAAGAAGAACTTGCAAATCTTGTGGCTCTGATTCTAGCTTTCTTTCTTTTGGTCTCTAAGGAGGTAGCCTCCATCTTTAGGCACTAATGCTCCCTCTAAGCTGTGGAGTCTTGTGAGCAAAAATTCTACTTTGTGAGCTACCGGCATTAAAGTGGTGAGCGAGGAATCTGGCTACTGCATAAATTAGTTTGCTCTGGAGCCCCATCCTTCCCGAGCTAAGGCAAAAATGTGTGAGCTGGAGGCTAAAAGACTGTGAGCTAGCTCACACTAACTCAGCTTAGAGGGAACACTGCCAGAGATCACAGGTGGCACTGATGTGATCAGCATCAGCTTGGTTTTGTTGTTGTTCAGTCGCACAGTCGAGTCCGACTCTTCGCGACCCCATGGACCAGCTCCCGCCAGGCCCTCCTGTCTTCCGCCGTCCTCTGACGTTGGCTCAATTTCATGTTCGTTGCATCGATGACACTGTCTAACCATCTCATCCGTTGCCGTCCCCGTCTTCTTTGACCTTCAATCTGTCCCAGCATCAGGGTCTTCTCCAGTGAGTGCTCCCTTCTCATTGGGTGGGCAAAGTATTTGAGCTTCAGTTTCATTACCTGGCCTTCCAGGGAAAAGTCAGGGTTGATTTCTTGGTATCTGATTCATTAAAGGGACAGAGAAATCTAACTGAACCCAGAGTAGTTCTATTGGCAATAGTGGAGGCCCATTCACCTTTAATAGTTTGCATAAAGGTCTGAGAGAGTGGAAATCTATCCGTTTTAGTGAAGACTCAAAAACACAGACTTCAAGCTTTTGGAGGGGGGAGTAGATTCAGAGCCCACTAGAGAATCCTTTGTCAACTGTAGCTTAGCTAAGACTTTAGTGATTAGAGGCATGAAGTCCCGGTAATGGAAGAGTCTGCAAAAGGAATGGGGCAGGGGAGGAATTGTCCTCTGCTAGCCATTCCCTCTTCCTTCCTCAGTTATCCACGAGTGGCCGTTTCCCTGGATGGAACTAGTTTAATACTGTGGCTTGTTTGTCACTAACTTTAATTAAAAAGTGTAGGCAATTTTAGTAGCACAATTAAAAGTTGTCTGCATGAAAAATGGCAACTGTGGCCCCGGTCACATGGGCCAGATAATGCGGGGGGGGGGGAGGCGTGGCTATTTGCGGTGCTGCAATTTAACGCGCCAGAACGCGATCCCACGCGTCAGCGGCATGCCACGGTTCCTTCCCTCCGCGTCAATGAGGGGCCGGAGGGAAAAGTGGCACGCCAGCGCAATCACACCGAGGAAGTCCGGAGGCAGCCCGTGGCAAACCGGTTGCTAGCGCCTTCGACCAGGTATTTTTTAAGTCCGCATGGTCGGCAGTACGCCACGGGTTGGCCATGGATGCGCTCAACTTGCCAGATGTTGCAGTGTGATCGCGCCGGGAAACTCCGCCATTCACTCGTGCCTCTCCCGCATCAAATTCGCCGTGTGAACGGGGCCTGTATCACATATATCAGTAAAGGTTACAGTAAGAAATCTCCATTTTTTTCTCAGTACAGTTCATCACAAGAAGAGCAAACAGAAGGACTGGTTTACCAGAAAGCCAGGTGGTCCAACTGGGCCAGCGGGACCTGGTGGACCTGGGCGGCCGACAGGACCCTGTAACGAGAAGCACTGGTAGACGCTGGAAAATACACACTCATCAGCACCAGCCCCGGCCCTATTTGAGGTGGCCACTAACATGGAGGCTACTTGAGGAAAGAACCAACAGAGAGACGACGATGATTTATTTATTGCAAGTTGGTTTGCTGTGGTGGGCTAAAACCCGGGACAGGTGGGTTCGAAGCCCCACTCTGCCATGGAAGGTCGCTAGGTGATGTTTAGCCCACCGCATTCTCTGTCTACCCTACCTCCCAGGGCTGTTGTGAGAATGAGCTGGAAGAGGAGAGAATGATGTGACATGTGAGATATCACTTTGTAGTTACATGGGGGGGGGGGTATTGGTAATATGTGAAGTCCAACGGCATGTTCAGCAGAACTCTCCTATCACTGATTGCCAGCACACCATTCTTGTAAGTGCTTGCAGTGATGCACTATGGGTAGAGTTCTACATGAACGTCAATGGATGTAGCGTTCCACATGAGCCATCATGCATACAGTGTCCTTCTTCATGTGATTTCAGTAACTACAGTTCAGTGCACACAGCTGCTACAATCCCAGAGGTGGCTGTGAGAACTGGCCCATGGGCATCCCAAATGTTTACAGCTTTATAGTACAGTATTTATTCCAATACAGGACTACTTTTGCAAAGTATGCAATACTTTGACATTTGCATACAAACTACAGTTAGGTCCAGTAAATAATGTTTTGGTGTCTCTCAGTTTTTAAGGGGGTCATTTTACAGCCAGGGTCACATTCCTTTCAAGTAACTATGGCAAATATCTTGAGATTTTCAAAATAATGCTATAACTATGAGGCATCGACTATAAATAAGTACACATGTTGTATAGTCTTTGGTTCTCTTAACTGCCGGTTTGACCAAATTGCACCAAGCTGTACAAAGTACAAAAACTGTACTTTACAAAAAAGAGACTTACGACATCACCATCCAGTCCAGGAAGCCCACTTTCTCCCTAAAAAAGCAACAAACAATTGCCTTTAATTAAATAGCAATTACCCTTGCAGACTGCTACATTTTGGAAAACAAACTGGTCAGCAGCGAGCTTGTGTCATTGTCAGCAGGGGAAGTATTTGCCACTGGGCTTAAAGGCTCACGTAAGAACCGATGCAGTGACATTTCAGCCACTGTGTTGCTGGCCTTAGTCTCCACCCCTTTGGTTTGGAACCAGCCCACCTGTTCAGCAAAACTCCAAAAGATCTGGCAAACCCTCATCTGGTCAGTGTTTCAGAACACATTTTCAGGACAAAAGGTGAACTGAGCAGAACAGGTAGGAGCAGACCATGTTGCATGTCTTAATTTTAAACACGAAATACAATGGCCAGATAGCTAAGCTGTGGAAAGGTGTGTGGCCCTAATACCAAAGGAAGGCTTCATCAAAGCACTGTCAGCTCTGCAGCTATCATTCTAAGCACTTAATTCTAGTCAAGGTGCCATTGCCCTGGCCTGGACAGCCCAACCCTCATCAGATCTTGGAAGCTAAGCAGGGTCAGCCCCGGTTAGTATGGGGATGGGAGACCCACCAGGGAAGTCCAGAGGCAGGAATTGGCAAACCACTACTGAACATCTCTTGCCTCCAAAAACGCTATGGGATTGCTGTAAGTCAACTGCAACTTGATAGCACTTTACACACACAAGGTGCCATTGCTGTCTTGTCTGACAACAGGACCTTTCCTCCACCTGTGACCTACACCTTTTGCATTGATGTCCCTCCGTGACACACCTTCTTCCCACCTCCAGCCTTTTCCTTTGCTCCCCTCCAATTAAATCCAGGGACTTGCTTCTGAATTCACCTCAGTTTCGGAACCTTCTGGAGCTAAGCTAAAAGGAGACCGTATTGGCACTGACTCTACCCCCTCCCCGTCACTTTGCCACTGGTTCCTAAAACATATTGGGTGATTTCCCACAAGCGCTGCTCCGTGCTCACTCTTCTCTTTGGCCCGATGGTACATGTCAATTTCACACAAGCTGCTGCGCGGCCGCATTTTGCCCCGGAGGGCGCGATTTCCCCCGCGTCTACTCAATCCTGTTTTTTGAGGATTGAGTAGATGCGGGGGAAATCGCACGAAGCTGCGGGGCAAAATGCGGCCGTGCAGCAGCTTGTGTGAAATTGACACGTACCATCGGGGCAAAAGGGAGGAGTGAGCGCGGAGCAGCGCTTGTGGGAAATCACCCATTGTGAAGGTTCAAGTTCAAGCTTGGGCACATAACTCTACTTAGTCAGGTGTTAAAAGTCAAGTGTCTGCTAGGGCAGGAATGAGGGACAGTAGAAGAGAGGGCTCTCTTGGCTGTTTTCATGAGACTCTGGGCCTCGTTCATACAAGAGACTTGTCCAGTTGACCCATGTAGAGACTGCACATGGTGACAGTATTCAGGAACCAAAATGCTTGGTGAGAAGACAAGCCCAGTTTGTGTTAATAAAGACAAAAGCAGGAATTTTTGCACTGGGAAGGGAAAGCTGGCATAACTCATGTCCTCTGTATACTTACAACAAAAAATATATTACTTGAATTTTTAAAATTATGTTATTGACTGAAATACTTATAATAAAAAGCTGGACTTAAACTGTAGTTAAATTTCATTCCAATGAGCAATAAACAAAATCCATTTCTGTATCAATCAGTTAAATCATTGTCCTTTAACTTAAGAAGAAGAGGAGATTGGATTTACACCCCACCCTTCCACTACCCAAAGGAGTCTCAGAGCGGCTTACAAACTCCTTTCCCTTCCCCTCCCCACAACAGACACCCCGTGAGGTAGGTGGGGCTGAGAGAGCTCTTGACAGAAACTGCTCTTTTTCAAGAACAGCTCTTATCAGAACTATGGCTTGCCCAAGGTCACCCAGCCAGGTGCAAGTGGAGGAGTGGGGAATCAAACTTACAAACTCCTTTCCCTTCCCGTCCCCACAGTAGACATCCTGTGAGGTAGGTGGGGCTGAGAGAGCTCTGACAGAAACTGCCCAGAATGCCCCCCAAATCTCCCCATCTAAGCAGCGAGAGGACTTTGCAACCCTATTTCATGTGGAGGAGGAATGGGGAATCAAACTCAGTTCTGCAGATTAGAGTCCGCCGCTCTTAACCACTGTACCACACTGGCTCTCTTCATTTTGGAGCAGATAGTCCTTAAGATATCCTGGTCATAGGGCCAACCAAAATACACAGTTTGGATGTTACTCCTGGTAGAAATTTCTATTTTTAAACCTGAAATCTTACCTTAATTCCTTTAAAAACTCCCTGGGCAAATGAAGGTTCTCCTTTTGGACCCTTTGGGCCAGGACGACCCTGAATTAGAACAAGACAAAAGAACAGCGTGCTTTCTCTCTCTCTCTCTCAAAATAAACCAGCAAATCTGAGCAGAATAATGTTAATGGTTATGAAGCCCACGTCAAAGCCCAAGCTAATTTTAACGGAACCCCTTCTGTCATCCGAATATATTCTAGCCCATTTCGTAAACTTTCTGAGGATATTTATGTCCGTCTGTCTCTCCTGGAGGCTTCATTTAGCCATCAAGCAAAACGTGATATCTGAATTGGCAAAACACAGTTAGGGATATCACTCTACTTCCAGAGGATGCTGCCTCGTGAAAATGGGGCTGGTTTATGAAGCTGAGAGGGACGCGGAGCCTCCAGTGACTCCAGCTATGGTATGATTAGAAACTTACGCCATGAACTCAGTTCTGAACCATGGTAAGAGCAAAACATGGCTTGGCCATAACCAGTCTTATGTTCTTATGTTCTTATGATTAGAAACTTACGCCACGAACTAAGTTCTGAACCATGGTAAGAGCAAAACGTGGCTTGGCCGTAACCAGAGTAAGGGAAAGGGAAAGGTTTCCCTTGCTCCAAAGCCAGTCGAATCCGACTCTAGGGTTGCGGTGCTCATCTCCATTTCAAAGCCGAAGAGCCAGCGCTGTCCGAAGACGTTTCCGTGGTCATGTGGCCGGCATGACTAAACACCAAGGTGCACGGAACGCTGTTACCTTCCCACCGAAGTGGTCCCTATTTATCTACCTCCATCATGCGTCACCCCCGGGTCTCGAACTGCTGAGCTCCCGACCTTCCACAGCCTGCAGTTTGGCGTCTTAGCCACCTGAGCCACCGCAGCTCCTATAACCAGAGTACAATCTGGCATAAAACCCCTGCTCCAAACACACCTCCCGTGAGTTCACCACTTGAGCCACCGCAGCTCCAATAACCAGAGTACAATCTGGCATAAAATCCCTGCTCCAAACACACCTCCCGTGGGTTCCCTGACCCTTCCCCTGACCCCTCTGCACCACCAATCTCCATCTACAACTGCAACACAGGATATGGACACAGTGACTGCAAACCCACTGCTGTGCAAAACGCAAGTATGCCACTAATGTTTCTTACAATACACGCCAATGCATAAAAGCACGGAAGTGAAACAGTGTATTATAATCTTTAACTGCTAGGCTTACCAGATGCTAGGCCTGGAGAGCTCCTGGAACTACAACTGATCCCCAGACCTTGGAGATCATTTCCTCTGGGGAAAATGGCCCCTTTGGAGGGTGGTCTCTATGGCATTACACCCTGCTGAGGTCTCTCCTCTCCTTAAACCCCATCCTTCCTCGTCACCTGGAATTTCCCAACCTGGAATTGGCAGACCTATTAAATGACCACTTACGTGTGTCTAGGCAGCCACAAATGGTGCCCATGCATCTCTTGGCTTTTCTCCCCCATCTCTAATTCCCTCCCTGTGTTAAATTCAGACTGCAAATTTATTTACTTATGCTGTAAAAGGACCATTTCCTGCCAACCTAACAGTTCGAAAGCGAGAAATTGCAAGTAGATAAATAGGTACCACTTCAGTGGGAAGGTAACAGCGTTCCGTGTGCCTTGGTGTTTAGTCATGCCGGCCACATGACCATGGAAATGTCTTCGGACACCGCTGGCTCTTCGGCTTTGAAACGGAGATGAGCACCGCAACCCTAGAGTCGGACTCGACTGGCTTTCGAGCAAGGGAACCTTTACCTTTTAAAAAGGACCATTAATGGATAACAAGGATTGTCTGCTCTGAAGCGACTGAAAACAACGGACATCCGTTTAAATAGGGAGCTGCGGCCTCCCTAAGTATTTCCAAACTTAACAGTTAAAGAGAGCAACAATACATTGTTTGCTGCGATAAATGAACCCCACAGGATTTCATATTTGGGATCTCTTCCATGCAAACACACCCGGTCTCTTGGGAACTGCTCCCCCTTGGACCCAACCCACTCTACTGTGTCTATTCCAGCCACGTTGGTGTGGCCTACTGCAGAGGTCCTTCCCACATAAGTGTCTCACCCTCACGGCTGGACCAGTCACACACATTCCACTACAGGGTGGGGCAGCAAAGTGGGGTTATCAGTTCCCACACACACAGAGAGACGAGGAGGATTTAGTTGTACAGTAATAAATGCAAAATCAAGAAGAAGAAGAAGAAGAAGAAGAGACTGGATGTGTACCCCGCCCTTCACTACCCAAAGGAGTCTCAAAGCGGCTTACAAACTCCTTTCCCTTCCCCCTCCCCACAACAGACACCCTGTGAGGTAAAAGAAGAAGAGATTGGATTTATCCCCTGCCCTTCACTACCCAAAGGAGTCTCAGAGCTGGCTTACAATCTCCTTTCCCTTCCCCCTCTCCACAACAGACACCCTGTGAGGTAAAAGAAGAAGAGATTGGATTTATACCCCGCCCTTCACTACCCAAAGGAGTCTCAGAGTGGCTTACAAACTCCTCTCCCTTCCCCTCCCCACAACAGACACCCTGTGAGGTGAGCGGAGCTGAGAGAGCTCTGACACAAACTGCTCTTTTTCAAGGACAGCTGTGCCACAGCTTGTGACTGACCCAAGGTCACATCAGCAGGTGCAAGTGGAGGAGTGGGGAATCAAACCCGGTTCTCCTAGATTAGAGTCCGCGCACTTAACCAAAATCAAGTACCTAGTTTAAGAACACATGAAGCTTTAAAGCTGCTTATTCCAAGACCGACCATATAGTCCAGTGCAGAAATCGAGTATGGGAGATGTGCATGGGCTCGGGCTGAAAGTGACCTTTCCCAGCCCTGCGACTTTAAAGAAGAGGAGATTGGATTTATACCCCGCCCTTCACTACCCAAGGGAGTCTTCAGAGCGGCTTACAAACTCCTTTCCCTTCCCCTCCCCACAACAGACACCCTGTGAGGTAAAAGAAGAAGAGATTGGATTTATACCCCGCCCTTCACTACCCAAAGGAGTCTCAGAGCGGCTTACAAACTCCTTTCCCTCCCCCTCCCCACAACAGACACCCTGTGAGGTGGGTGGGGCTCAGAGAGCTCTTGACAGAAACTGCCCTTTTTCAAGGACAGCTGTGCCAGAACTGTGGCTTGCCCAAGGTCATCCAGCAGGTGCAAGTGGAGGAGTGGGGAATCAAACCCGGTTCTCCCAGATCAGAGTCCGCGCACTTCACCACGACACCACTGCTGGCTCTCAACAAATCTAAGCATTCATTACAACATACCGGTGGCCCCTGCGTGCCAGGAAATCCATCTGTTCCTGGGAAACCCGGACTCCCAGTAGTACCATTGCAGCCATCCAGGCCAGGTAGACCTCGGTGTCCTGGCTGGCCAGGGTGTCCCTGGATTGAGGGGGGGGGAGAAAAAAATATGCATTACAATGAGTGTTTTTTTAAACGTCTGTGCGCATGAATCGATAAAATGGACAAGCAACCGTTCTCCAAAACCAAGAACGATCGAGTAAGTGACGGTGCCCCGACCTGAATGGCCCAGGCTAGCCCAGTCTAATCAGATCTCGAAAGCCAAGCAGGGTTCGCTCTAGTCAGTGGTTGGATGGGAGACCACCAAGGAAGGCTGTGCAGAGCCAGGCAATGACAAACCGCCTTTCTTCGTCTCTCACCTTGAAAACCCGTCGAGGGGTCACCGTGAATCAGCTGTGATTTGATGGCACTTTACACACACGCAAGCAGTGATGACAACTACTGCATGAGCCTTGATCCAGAAACCCATCCGTTGCCTTATGGCCTCAACCATCCTCAATGGTACAAGCGGAACGGGGCGTGCCAAAAGGAATGTGCGTGCCATTCTGCTTTCTCTGCCAGAATCCACGGGGCAGAGTAAAGTGGAGAATCCAGTCCAAAGCTGGCTAAACACGTAATGAACAGACTGGCATCAAAGACGCTAGATATATTCAACCATCATGTCAGTATATTATTGTATATTATTAATAAACATTCATGAAGTAATTGTGATTACAAAGATACATGAAGTTATTCTGATCGTTATAAAGTGATTTTGATATATAACGATTTATTTTATTTTTATTTAACTTTCAGTTTATATACCGCTCTAACCCTGAAGGGGGTGACATCCTACCAGCACCCAGACAGCAGGGATCTTCTTCTCCCGGCTTCTTCATGGTGGGCTCTTTCCTTCTGGCATCGTCGTCGTCTTGACGCAGGTCTTCTGTTTTTGCAGCGACTCCTTCCGGCGAGATTTTCCCTGTGCGCGGCTGCGCGACGACCGCAGCGCTGGCCCACGTCCATTTGGCTCCGCCGCGTCGCCGCGTCACCACGCCTCTGGTCCAATCCGCGCCCAGATACTGTCGCTGCTCAGCATCGGATGGTCGCCCTGTCGACTGCTGCACATCACCCCGAAGGGAGGAGGGTGCCCCCTGCTATCTAGAGCAGGTACCCATTTATCTACTCGCAAGGCTTTTGAACCGCTGGGTGGGCGGGAGCTGGGACGAGGGCCAGGAGCTCATCCCAGCCACGGTGGGTCTCGAACAGCCTTATGGCTGTTCACCGATGGAATTACTTGCAGGCTTTTTACTGCCTGCGCCACCGCTCCCTTTTTATATGATATATAACGATCAAAATAACTTCATGTATCTTTATAATCACAAATTACTTCATGAACGTTTATTAACTGTATTCACTGCTACAATAACGTCATTTACAGTTTACACTTTGAGATCAATAATATACTGACGTGATGGTTGAATATATCCAAAATCCACATGGCAGCCTGCGAGCAGGTCGAGCATCGCTGAGCAGATCCCAAAGCTCAAGAGGCCCGGGAAGGCACCACATGAACCAGCCACAGCACAGCAGCATCCACGGCTCAGCCTCTGGCACGGCAGGCTTGTGGCCTGAGGAAGGCCGCTCTGAGGAGACTGAGCTTTTCCCCAGCCTGTTTGGGTAAGGAAGTGGTTAGTAGGAGAAACAGCCGAGGTCAACACTCCCCCATCATGTGACAGTGGTTGCAGCTACTCAGGGCAGGTTTCTAGGTTTTGGGGGGCCCTGGGCAGACAGTGCCCAGGGCCCCCCCATCTGCCCAGCTACCACCGGTTTGCCCCCCACATGCCCAAGCATCCTTCTCCCACTCGCAAGCCCTTCCATTGCCCAGCCTTAGTTGACCGCAAACGTTTCCCCAGTATGGATGCAGCTGGGAGGGCTGTTGCCATAGCCACCAGGAGCCACTGTGCACTACCCTTATTCTTTGTAAGTTCTGACCATTTCCACCGAATAACCAAGAAATTCGTATCACTGCTCTGCAAAAGGGAATCATGCCAGCAGATGGCAGCAGTAGCACCTTTCAGCTTTTGGTCTGAAGCAGAAGAACAACGTTTGAGTCCAGTGGCACGCGGAAGTTTATACCTCGAATAAAACTTTGTTGGTCTTAAAGATGCCACTGGACTCAAACTTCCACGCGTATTCGGAAGGCTAGCTAACCCCCGTTTCTGGATCCTCAGTATAAAAATGAGACAACCCTTTCTTAAAAGGTGATCTACGGCCAGAATGTTAATAGCTGCAGCATGGAGACAAGAGAAAGCGCCAGATATTGAGAAATGCCGAAGGAAAGCATGGTATATTCATGGTAAAAATATCTGCATATAGGAAGTTTCAGGAAAAGAAATAAATCTAAAGAATTAGTTTTTTTAAAAAAGACACACTGAACCTTGCTTAGATTGTCAAATCTTACCTCACTGATATTGTATTACATGTTATGTATTATGTAGTCTTATGTGTTGAATATCATGAAATAAACGGATCACATATTAAAAGGGATCATATATCAAAAACCCAGGCTCATAAGTAAGTAAAACAGAAGGACAGAAAAACAGCACCTCCATAAAAATCCATTTATATTGGTGTATTCATGATAGATGTGTATGAAATGCAGATCTCAGGCACACATCCGGTGAGATGCTTGTGCTTCATGTCCATCAGTCATGAAGTCAGAGTTGATTCAGAAATTGAACAATAGAACACAATATGGAAAACTGCAAAATTTATGAGAGCCATTTAACTGCAAAATTTATGAGAGCCATTTCCTATAAGGAAAATATTTATAAAATGTTCCATAGGTGGTACTGGTCCCCAGATAAAATTGCAAAGTGTTATCCGCAAACATCCAATAAATGTTGGAAATGTAAGTCGAATGTGGGGACCTTTTACTACATGTGGTGGAAATGCAGTAAAATACAAAAATACTGGAAAATGGTGCATATTTTTTTTTAGAAATTCTGAACTTAGACGTCGTGTTAACACCCAAAACCTATTTATTGAATATAATTCCAAAAGGTTATGATAAACAAGATGCATATTTATTAACATACGGTATATCATAACAGTTGTGAGAATATTAGTGGCCAAAAATTGGGAAATGGACAAAACACCCTCAAAAGAGGACTTAATAGCAAAACTTCTAGAGCTAGCCCAAATGGATAACCTGAGTTTAATACTTCAGACTAAAGACCAAAAAATATAGAATAAAAGATGGTTCAGGGTTTATAACTGGATAAAACATGTAAAAATATAACAAGAAATGAAAAAGAGAAAATAGTTAATATTTGGTATAAGACATGTAACTTGATTTAATTACTCTAAAAATGTGTGTATTCTAAGGTAATGAAATGTTTGTAACTAGATTGAAAATACGAAAAATCAACGTGGGGGGGAAATGAAGTCAGAGTTGATTCCTATTTCCTCTGTGCCACGTTTTCTTAAGGGCCTAAAGGAGAATCTGGCATGTTATCATTGGGGCGGGGTGAGCAGCCTAAAAGGCCTCTCTTCTGCTGGGGGTCTGAAGCAGCTGTAAATGGGGGAAAGGGGCTACTTATCCTTGAATATGCCTTCAAAAATTCTGAATGCCCCCCAAGATTTTCACATTGCTTCCAAAGGGCTGGGGAGGGAAGGTGCCATGGTATAATCTGGTCCCATCAGATCTCAGAAGCTAAGCAAGGTTGGTACTTGGATGGGAGACTGTCAAGGAAGGTTCTGAGGGGGAAGACAGTGGCAAACCACCTCTGCGTCTCACTCGCCTTGAAAGCCCCTTGTTGGGGTCGTCATGTATCAGTTGCGCCTTGACAGCACATATGACATATGTTTAAAGGGATGCATTGTTGTTGTTGTTCAGTCGCACAGTCGAGTCCGACTCTTCGCGACCCCATGGACCAGATCCCGCCAGGCCTTCCTGTCTTCTGCCGTCCTCTGAAGTTGGCTCAATTTCATGTTCGTTGCATCGATGACACTGTCCAACCATCTCATCCTTTGCCGTCCCCGTCTTCTTTGACCTTCAATCTTTCCCAGCATCAGGGTCTTCTCCAGTGAGTGCTCCCTTCTCATTGGGTGGCCAAAGTATTTGAGCTTCAGTTTCATTATCTGGCCATCCAGGGAACAGTCAGGGTTGATTTCTTTTAGGGTTGACTGATTTGATCTCCTTGCAGTCCAAGGGACTCTCAAGAGTCTTCTCCAGCATAGCCCCCTGTTAAGAACCACTGACCTACCTAATCTGACCAGCAGACAACCGACCTAATCTGACCAGCACTTAATCACATAAATTTGATGCTCTACATCTGAAAACATCCTGAGCTTTTTAATAGCTATTGAGGTGCAGAGGTTTCATCATTTGACAGGCAGGAAAACTACAGAGATGGCCAACGGCTACAGCTGGCTATCAGGCCACAGCTGAGTGGCAAAGCTCATGTCTTCCATGCATAAGAACCTGGGCTCAGTCCTCAAGAACTCCTCATTAAAGGATCTCAGGTAACCAGGACTAGGAAAGACAGCTGTCTGAGACATCAGAGAGTAACTGTCACTTACTGTAGACAAGACCAGTGTTCCCTCTAGGCTGAGTTAATGTGAGCTAGCTCACAATTTTTCACCCTCCAGCTCACACATTTTTGTCTTGGCTCAGGAAGGATGGCTCCAGTCCAGAGCAAACTAATTCATGCAGTAGCCAAATCACCTGCCTGCTCACAACTTTAATGCTGGTAGCGCGTAAAGTAGAATTTTTGCTCACTGGACTCCACAGCTTAGACATTGGACAAGACGTGGGCCATTATCCCAACTTTGCATAAACAACAGTGCCTTCCTAAGCAGGTCTACTTGGAGGCCCTGGTTCAGTTGCTCCCACCATCTGAGGCTGGACGGGTAGCAACCTAAGAAAGGGCTTTCTCCATCGTGGTACCAAAACTTGGGAACTCCCTCCCCAGGGAGATTCATCAGTCTCCCTCTATCAGTGCCTTACGCCAGCGGGTGAAGACTTTTTTTGTTTCATTTGGCACACCCCCGATAACAGTTACTGGCCCTCCTCTCTGGTTCTGGTACTGTTTGTATGTTTTTAATGAATTATTTTACCATTTTAAATGTTTTTAATTGTCCAGACGTTTTACTATTTTTATGTTCGCTGCCTTGGGGACCCTGATCGGGTGGGAGAGGCAGCATAAAATGTTCTGAATAAATAAAAGTTAAGTTCCACTGCACTGAGAGCAATTGGGATAAACTGAGGCTATCGTACTTTGATCACGTTATGAGAAGACAAGGGTCGCTGGAAAAGACAATAATGGCCCCGGTCAACCAGAGCTAAATAAATAAGAAAAGTATTTTTAAATAGGAGGGCAACTGGGTCAAGTATTACATTTTTCCAAACTCTTCCCCACTGTCATGGAATAGCATTCATGTGAAGAATATAACATGTCACTCAGGCCTTCAACAGAGTGAGCCACATCCCCTAAACCGGCCATTAAAATTAACCCCTGTCAATTATTACACATCTCCTAAAGCAGCAATTAACATTAGCCCCTTTAAGTTACTACATTTCCAGTACTCTTATTCTGTGTAGTAAGGGAGCATGCTATGCACAATTGCCATTTTGTCTAAACAGAGCAACATGAGTATATTATGACTTTGGTATATATGAACAGAAGCCCTGGTTTTTTCCCCCTTATTGTTTCCACATACTGAAGGCAGAAGTAATTTATGCATGGTACCCAAATCAGGCAAAATTGCAACCGTGCATATCAAGATGATCCCAAGTAGTATGCCCTCCCAAAATGCATGATAGGAGCACCAGAAATGTTACGTAAATGTATCTGGAAACTGTTGGAGATGTAGAAATAACATAGGAACGTATTTTCATATATGGTGGCGATGCGAGAAGATACAGAAATTTTGGAAGGGCATTAAGCTTCTAATAAAAGAAATTACAGAGATAGAATTACCACTATTACCAGAAACTTACTTACTTAATATAACACCAGATGGAATTAAATATAATGAATTATGTATCACACTATATATACTCGCAATAGCAAGGATCCTCATTGCAAACGGGTTGGAAAATGGATAGGATACCGAGTAGAGAGGAGATGATTATGAAAATTTTGGAAATAGTAGAAATGGACAAGCTGAATATGTTCTTGTCGGGAAAAGCAGAAAGTAACTTTCGGAAGTGTGATGAGTAATGTATTGTAATTCTTTGAACATGTTATAACGTTGTACATACTCAGGAACTATTTACAGGATGTGAATGTAATTGGAAGATTAATTGTTCACTGTTTGAAGTGTTAGAATTGTTAAAAATTGAAAAAAATAAAAAAACATTAAAAACAAAAATGGCAAAAAGTTAATAAGTGGATTGAAGAGAATGTCTAATGTAACCCAAAGTGTATGACAACTATGTATACGTGAATTTTGTTTTTTAACTGAAAATTGAAAATAAAAATTATTTTTAAAAAAGGAAAAAACCTAACACACACACACACACAAATTCCACTGAGCTCAGTGGGGATCACTCCCAAATTAAGGTGCTCAGGATTGTGGCCTAAAGAAATGTTAAGTGTTTAAGTGCTGATTTAGGACATCCCTCCCGGAACAGCTGATTTATTCTCAGTCTGCCAAGTCTGGACCACCAGAGTGACTGGTCACATAATGTCACCTGCATGGTAGCCAAGCTCCGAAGTGCCCATGCCTGGCTGGATCATGCTTCTGAACTCAGCCTGCGGTAAGCATCTTAATGCGTCTGGCAGTGTGATGAACTGATAACATGTGCAAATTCAAGCAGTGCTGATTTTTAAAAAGTTGCTCTGCTTTATTTATTTATGTATTTAATTCCACTTATACCCCGCCCTCCCCGCGTGCGGGCTCAGGGCGGCTTACAATCATAAGGCACAACGTGCAATAAAATACAATAAAACAATTTAAAACAATTTCTACATGGGACGCGCCCAAGGATCCCGCATGACTAAAACCCTCTCTCCATATTGCACATGCCCTTTCCACTCCAGGGGCAAAAGCCTCTGTCCCGCCATTGTCTGGGTCGGACCTCGATGGCATAAATGAGGACAGAACTGCCAATTATCTAGCACATGCTAAATCTTCCATTGTCCTCTTCCTTTAAAGATAATCCTTTAAAAGGGGAGGGGGGGAGGCCAAATACTGTAATCTGTTTGCTAACTTGCCTGTCTTTGGTTCAGCAGTAAAGTATCTTACGTCAACATGCCAGCCTGTAACAAAACACAGTTTTGGCCTGTGACGGTTCAAAGCAAACACATGGGATTCTTCATCCACGTATTTATCTCATCTCAATTTATAGCCTGAAGGCGGCAGATAACTCCTGGGGGCAAGCCTATTATGTGGAAATGAGAATTGCACGTGTCTGCAAACAAAGACTTGGAAACGTCTATCCCCTATATAACAAAAGAGATAGCCAGTATAAGTAGTTTAAAGGACAAGCTATCTTCTCCTTTTACATCAAGTGTAAACATCCTGCAGTGACTTGTTTAACTTGTAGGAACAAAAGGCTGGGTCCCACGGATCCATTCCTCTAACAGCCGTGCTTCTGGCTGATGCATAACTTTAAAGTCTTCCACCAAAGTTTCTTGTTCAGGAGGATCCCAGTCTTCATACTCAGAGAAGTTTCTACACATTTATTTATGTATTATTTGATTTATACCCCACCCTTCCCACCGAAGCAGGCTTAGGACAGCTTACAAGGCCATCTGGCAATAAAACATTAAAACAATAATCATAAAAACACCGTAATATCAAAATTATAAGGTGCTATGTATGGTAGGATGGCAGGAATGGTTCTAATCAGCCACCATAGAGTCAGCACTAGTTGTGCGGCTGGTATGTGGCTCCGTACATCATTCGTCCGTATAAGCAAGGATATTAGAACAGGCGGCTAAGATAGATTGAGGGGCCTAGTTTACTCAGTTGGTGTTAACCCGTTTGCTCGAGCACTTGGCGGAAGAGCTCTGTCTTGTAGGTCCTGCGTCTTGCCAGCAATGTGAAATAAAAAAACAGCTCTAAACTCAAATAATAGCATCAGTCATAGTTGCAGACTGAGTTACACATTGCAACTCTCTGTGCATTTACATACTTAATAGTAACTGAGGCCTGTCTACGCATGTAGCAATGATGGTAGAAAGTGCTATGTGTGTGTATTAAGTGCCATCAAATCGCCTCCAACTAGTGGCGACTCTATGAATTAATATCCTCCAAAAAGTCCTACAACCTAGCTCAGGTCTTACAAGCTGAGGGGAATGGCTTCTTTGATTGAGTCAATCCATCCGATGTTGGGTCTTCCACTTTCCCTGCTGCCTTCAACTCTTCCTAGTATTATTGCCTGTTCCAGTGACTCCTGTCTTCTCCTAATGTGATCAAAGTATAATAGCCTGAGTTTAGTCATTTCAGCTTCTAGGGAGACTTCAGGCTTGATTCGATCTGATTTGTCTTGTTGGCAGTCCACGGTATCTGTAAAACTCTCCTCCACATCTCAAATGATTCAACTCCCTTCCTGTCTGCTTTCTTCATTGTCCAACTTTCACACCCATACATAGTAAGGAGGAATACCATGGCATGGGTTATCTTGATCTTGGTCGCCATTGACATATCTGTACTCGTAAGATTCTTTTCTAGCTCCTTCATGGCTGCCTTTCTCAGTCTCAGGCTCCTTCTGATTTCTTGGTTGCAGTCGCCCTTTTGGTTGCGGATGGAGCCAAGGAACAGAAAATCTTGAACAATTTCAATTTCTTCATTGTCAGCCTTAAAGTAGTCATTCTTTTTGTCTTCTTGATGTTCAGCTGTAATCCTGCTTTGGCACTTCCTGATTTGACCTTCATCAGTAGTTGTTTCAAGTCTTTACTATTTTCTGCCAGCAATGTGGTGTCATCTGCATATCTCAATCGTTAATATTCCCACCACCAATTTTCATTGTGCCTTCATTGAAATCTAATCCTGCTCTCCTTATGACATGTTCTGCATAGAGACTGAACAGATAAAATACATCCTTGTCTGACACCTTAGCTAACTGGAAATCATTCTGTTTCTCCAGAGTACAGGTTGCGCATCAAAACCATCGGATGCTGCGGCACACCCATTTCCTTAAAAAACAAACAAACACACATAGCTTTTCATGATCCACAGTCAAAAGCTTGCTGTAATCTATGAAATGTAAGATGATTTTCTTCTGAAATTCTCTTGTGTGCTCCAGTAAACAACACAAATTTGCAATATGATCTCTAATGCCTCTTCCTTTTCTGAATCCTGCTTGAACACCTGGCATTTCTTGTTACATATATGGTGACAATCTTTGTTTGTAAGATTTTAAGCATCACTTGACTTGCATGAGAAATTAATGCGATCGTCCAATAGTTGCTGCAGTCTTTGACATCTCCTTTATTCGGAGATGGAATGTAAATGGATTGTTTCCAGTCTGTGGGCTATTGTTTTTCCATACTTATATTGGCATATTCTTATTAAGCAAGCACTGCCTCACTTTAAATGTCAGTTTGGCAGGGGACATCAATTGTTTCACATGCTCCCCTACACTGAAAATGTCAGCAACCAGAAAGCCAGACTACCTCTCTCTGTTATAACAGCTTTCTGTTTGCAGAGTGCTTAAAAAAAACCATGGAGAATATTAAAAATTATATCCTCTACCTGTAGTCTAAAGTGACTCTCAGCATTTACCTGCTCATACTGTGTAAACCCAGCCTAAGTGTTCAAGAACCATGACATAGATGTTACTACGGGCTAGTCATTTGCCTCAGCAGTCTAGCTGCATGAGCACTGCAATGGGGGGAAGAGAGAATTCATGCAATCATGAAAGAGCAACTTCTGGCCATGGAAGTTGTTTTGCTAAATCACCACGATGACCAAATACTTTTATTACTAGGCACAACAGGCAGATCCTGCATGAAGCCATCATCTATGAGGTCCCCCAAGGAAAATACTTAGGGACCACTAAATATATATAAACTCATATCTCGCAAGACAACGGGAATTAGCCATGGCCTCTTATGTAACACTGAACACATGAAGTTACCTTATACTGAGACACACCATGGTCCATGGAAGTCAGTACTGTCCATTTTAACTGGCAGCAGTTCTCCAGGGTCTCAGAGCCAAGCTATACATTATCTTCTGGGCAGGGCCGGCTCACTCACTACGCGAACTAGGCGCCTGCCTAGAGTGCACTGGCCCTTGGGGGCGCCAGACTGGCACCCGCCCCCCCGTTGTCCTGGTTCAGCTGCAAACACTACTGAGTTTTAAACATGTTATGATCTTTCTGATGATACAAATGCCAATTCCACCAAAAAACTTAGCCCTCTGGGCACAGAAGGGTCACTCAGCTAAGTCAAAGAAGAACCTAAGTAGGGGGGCTATTACATAAGGACACTCAAGTTGCAACTGACTTATGGCAACCCCAGCAAGGAACTGTCAAGGCAAGTGAGAAGCAGAGGTTGTTTGCGACTGCGAGTGCCTTTCTTTGCAGAGTCTTCCTTGGTGGAAGCCAGATGTGCAAAGCAGGCAAAGTTACAAAAGCAAAAGTGAGTGTTAAGAGCATGGGTGCCAGGGGAACGGGAGGTCCGGGGTACAGATCCAATTAACGGGTCCGAGCCATGGTGGGCGCACCGGGGTGGGGGGCACCAGAAGGGATCCTCGCCTATGGTGCAAAATAAGCTGGGTCCGGCCCTGCTTCTGGGCAATCCAGACCTGACTCATGAAAAAGATTGTGTCATTCATTCCTCATAAGGAGGTCCTCCACAACACCTACTAGATCCCGTAACCTAGAAGTGCCAGGGACTGAAACT